TAAGTATGGTAACCTGGTACTCTTTTGTAACCATAAGGAGAGAATAATCAATGAAAACTACAAACGCGTTTAAGGACAAAACGATTTCAAAAGGGAATTAGTTATCCATAGGAAACTAAGTCTTGTATCGTTTAAACAAACGACAATTTTAACTATTTCTCCCTGTGTGTCACCCCCATCCCACCCCCTCCTTTTCCTACACAACAGTCTCCAACAGTCTCACTCTTTCTCTTTGTCTCCCTCTTTTTCTCTCTCTCTCTCTCTATCTCTCTCTCTCTCTCTCTCCATCTCCCTCTCTGTGTCTCTGTGTCTCTATTTCTCTTTCTGCGTCTCTCTCTGTCCCTTTCTCTCTCTCTCTCTCTCCCTCTATCTCTCTCTCTCTCTCTCTCTCTCTCTCTCTCTCTCTCTCTCTCTCTCTCTGATACTTGCACACACATACATACCCACACATACACACCCACACACACACAATTCCCTCTCTTTTCCCCTGCCTTAGCTTATTTTAAACACGAATATAAATGCTAAAGTACAGTATGCACACGTCAACACATTCACAGGGTCACGAATTATCGTAACTTTGAAAACAAAACTGTGAGATAACAACTTAACCTTGTAAGGATCGATTAAAACCAAAATGCCAGCTGTTATGTCAAAATTCACAATTCAAAAGATGAAATTGGTGGTTGGCGGTTGGTCTAATGTGATTTGCTCCTTCTTTCTTATTAAACAGCCCTCGTCCTTATCTCTCCTCCCACTTGTATGCGTTTGTTACTGTCTTGTAACGCACATAATCTTCAGCACACGTGACCTAAGTTGTGTTGCAAGAGCCGTAAAATACCTATTAAAACAAAAAAGGACATCTTGTCTGACATTTCCCCCAAGAACGACAGAATAGAAGCGCGCCATACTATGAGTTGTTTGTTTGCTTTTTAAAGTTTCTTTTTGCCACAGCCATCCTCTGGCTCTTCCTGCACAAAGACGTGACTTTCTCTGCACGATCGGCATTGGCAAGACCGGTGGAGCTGGTCCCTTTTTGTCGGCTGGACAGTGGACAACATAATTATTTATTGCTAGTGATAATTCTAATTCAGTTTTAAGTAAATGCAAACGAATATTTATCAACATTTTTTAAAAAAAGGACTTTACCGATTTGAAGGCGCTGAAAGAGTTCAAAGACTGAAGAAAATACCTGCACATCTATATGCAGAGATGTTAGTTTAATGGTTTAACAACGCAACCACCTCCGCCCCTCCCTCCCCGGCTAGCTAAGTTTACATAAGAAAAGCAATTAATTTAAATGAATCCTGAATACATCGACCTAGATGTAATGCAAAACAGGTCGTTAACATAGTATAAGAAACATATTAAAATAAGGACCTAAACATCAATACAAACGAATAGACGAAATAAACATAATGCGTATTCGACACAGAAAGAGCCGTTTGTATAACTTGAAAGTTCTTTTTGAACGGTTCAAGAGAAAGAAACGAATGAATTGTCAGGTGTGAAGGATAAAAGAAAAGCGATAGATAATCTGTAAACGAAATTATTTGATGCTCATTTCCCAATACATGCATACGAGCCTAAAAGACAAGATAGATTCTTGTTTAACTTTCATGAGGATGAGAAAAATCATTCTAAAGACACTGATAATGAAGAGTGATGCTCGTACGATTCCACTCACGGGGCGACAGTTCGAATCCTACCCTGTGGAAATGTTTTATCGAGACCCTTATCGATCCGATATAGTAGATTATGGAGTCTACGTATTATCTCCTATGATGTTGTGGTAAGGGGCTAATTAGATTGCATTGTGTGCGTTAAAATACTAGATCTATATACAAGGAGTACAAGTAGATTATGATCATTAACCTCCGCTTTTGTGTGACGTCTTGATTCTCTTCGAACGTTGTGTCATCGCAACACATTGATTTCAAATATGGTTTGGAGTTTCAGAAGACAAAATAGGAAGAAATTAGAATAGTCCATGCCGAGTTTCAAAAACCTTTTTTTTAAAGCTTGAAAGGTATACCTGAGATAGAATCTTTAGGTAAAAATGTAAGCTAATAAAAATCAGGAATAAACGAGAAAAAATATAAATTTTGTCAGATCAAGCAATGAAACTTTTTTGGGGGTTTTATTTGTCATAAAATCGAAGCTTGTCCTTAAAATAAAAAACCCACAGTATTATTCACCCTGCTGCGACTGTTTGTGTTCCGCCCTTTTTCTTAACAGACGGGTTTTTTTCCAGGCGACTGACCGTTTTATGTCCGTTTCCGATACAACAAGACCGAGCCGGATGTCATAAAAAAGTCCAGTATTGACACTGTACTACAAGACGTTGGTTGAATTCTGCTAGGATTTAGCTTCGAATCTCAGGGTTATTAAGGGATCAAATACTAACAGAAGAATGCAATGACGTTTACGTAAATTATCTCTCCGTGACGTACGGAGTGAAATTCGCAGAGAAGCAGAAAGCAGATGCAAATTTTCAATGGAATTTTTCATACTGCCATATTTTTAAAGTGTTTAAACTGAACTATGTCTACAAAGGTTAAATAACTACTGCCATAAAGTTAAAAATGGCACACAACAGGTTTTACTAATCAATGAAATGAAACTGCAGTGTGAGTGAGCAAACTTTGAAGTAAAGATTTCTCACAACTTCAAAAATGTGACATTCACGAGTTTTACCTCTGAGCTCCTCGTGTGTATTAAATTTAATTTTCCCGAACCACAAGTTTTGTGTCAACTCTTAGTTTGCTGATAATAAGCAAAGAGTGAGCACGGTCTTTCCCGCGCAACATGAAAAGTCTCAAGAACGAAAGCAAATATTTTAAAAACAACAAAAATCCAAACTGAAATTTTAAATATCAAAAAGCTTCAACGATATGCCTGACATCTAAAGTTAAAAACTAAGCTATACAAAAAAAATCGGGAATGAACAAAACACAATTGAAAAGAAAGACGAGAATCTCTCCTACATTTCTACATCAGTGAAAGGTTTAAAAAAATAAAGACCATAATAAGTAAATGCATTTTCCATTACCGATATAAGCAATCGGCACATCCCAGATGTTATGCTATATATTTACATCTCTAAACTATGTTATTCGGTACAATTGAATACAGAGAAAGAACAAGATCATGGTATTCATTCTGTTTGTGTGCAATTACTTCCACTCATAGGGCTACATGCTCTCGTGAAAATGATTGCGTTTAAGTATACATCTACATTTATTACGATGATATTGCACGTGAGACTGATTCATCTCGAAATATGACTGCAATTTTTTTTAATCTGTTAAAACCAGATCCAAGGTGCAGACTATACCATTCGTGTTATTACGGTGAGAAAATTGTATCTACAGAGTGTATTTCCACAACAAAGTATTCCAAACATCAGTCGTTAAGAAGCTGTTCAGCTGTTCTAAGCCCAGAAAGCAACACGGTTTTATTTTAAGGATTAGAAAGACAACCCCCCCCCCCACACACACACACACAAACACACACACAAACACACCCAGCTTTTTATACAAACAAAAATTATTTCATTATTTCATTCTTTAAAAATCATACCTATTTTATGTATCTTTTCTTGCTTTTTTCAACATTTTTTTTCAATTTGAATTTCAACTTTAAATTTCTCGAGCTCATGCAACCGATACCACAGATTATTTATTATGAAACTGCGTCTTTTTAAAAATCTATATTTTGGGCTTAATACATCTACAAAGCTAGCCAGCATAACCCCCCCCCCCTCACACACACGCACACACACACTCACACACACACTCACACACACAAACACATACACACAGACACACACACACACAAACAAACACAAACACACACTTGCGCGACATACACACACAAACGCATTTTGGTTTGTGCAAACAATTGCGGACTTGAAATAACGTCAGCTGTACAATTCCCACACAAGAAACCTCAATAATCATCAATAACGTTACGTCTAAAATCGTAATAGAACACATTATTTCAACTAATTGACATGTGGTGCCTAACAAAAGGGACACGGGACGGATCGTGGAGGAGGAGGGTACATTTCCAAAGAGTGAGACAAACCATTATAATAAGATTATTAATTTCAGTGGACGCCAGATCTGGTGTAGCACAAACAGGAAGTATCCGTCTAGACGACTCAGATTTGACAAAATCGTGACTTCGATATCCCTCAAGAAAGCACGCCCCTGATTGGTAATTTTAGAGAATGAAAGTAACAAACATCCTTGATTTGCCGACACGGCGTAAGTTGGATGAAGTGTGTTATATTATAAGAAATTCGATACATGCCAACTTTGAAATGTCGTTTATAGGGTTACTTTCTAGAACTTTTCATTTTAGCAGGAAATTCGATATTCAGTGGTTTATCATCTCACTGCCAACGCATTTCAGTCTATTTAAGAGGAAGTTGAGGAGATCATTTAAAGAGAAGTGGATTATGTTTCACAACGTTAAAAAAGTACACCTTTACACTGTTGACAAATCCGAGGACTTTTTACATCCTTGTAGTAAAAAATAGAGGTGGATAAACCGTTTTTTTAAAAAGAGATCTGCTGATTTATAAAAGTTATATCAGGCAGTTTCTTTTGTTTCCGAACGTCCATAATCTATTTCTGCTCTACAGATCGCCCCTGACCGATGATTACATGTGGGATGAAACGAAGCGCAAAAAAAACCCCAGACAAATAAAACAGTTAATTGTTAAGGGTCCTTCGCTTCATTCTTTCAAGCACGTGTTGAACAACTGATAGTTTAATGTGTGGCTTCATAGTTTAAAGTACTGCCCCCCCCCCCCTCAAACACACACACACTTATAGACACTCTATATATAACAATGTTTTCTTTGTCTCATTCACACACACACACACACACACACACACACACACACACACACACACACACACACACACACACACACAAATACAAACAAACTCTCTCTCTCTTTTTCTCTCCCTCTCTCTTTCTCTCTCTCCTTCTCTCTCTTTCTCTCTCTCCCCTCTTTTTCTCTCCCCCACCCTCTCTCTCTTACGTGTATACACGTGCACTCAAAACATACACTCCCCAAAAGCCAATACAAGCAGACGATCTCTCTCTCTCTCTCTCTCTCTCTCTCTCTCTCTCTCTCTCTCTCTCTCTCTCTCTCTCTCTCTCTCTCTCTCTTCACTATTTCTGTATCTCTCGAACACACGTGTTCTCTCTGTGTAATAAACAAGCATCTAGAGAATCGCTCCATAACAAACAAAAATGCATCGTAACAAACTGGTGACATGTTACATATTATTATTCACCTCGGGAAAAAAAGAAAAAAGAACCAATTCTGCTCTTCCTGCTATTTTTTCAGTCACTTTGTCCTCACTCTGGCGCGTAAGCCACGCCTTCTGGCAGCCTCAACCATGTCACGTGGTACCGTCCGTGCGTATCGCCTTTCGGGGGAGGGGCTACGAGACTTCTTCGGTACATTGGGTGCGTCTAAGATTCGACTCCGCCTACTAGAGTAGCTTGACGGATCTGGCGTCAGGGGTGGGAGGGGGATGGAAGCTGAGGGCTGGTACAAAGGCGGCTCACTCCGCTCTGAGACAATGTGAATTCGGGGAACTTTCAGATTCTGGGGCAGACTTGAAGAATCCGAGTCAACATCCGTGACAGATGCAGGGCTTTTGACAGCGGTTCTGTTATTGTCTCTTTCTGACGATTCTAGAGACTTTCTCGGCGAACTAGATCGAGAGGACATCTTACTGAGGTCCATGGCTTCGTTTTCGTCGTGCTGAATGGGACATTCGAGTCTAGGCCGCTTACACAGGTCGAGGGAGTAGGTGTGATGGGGAGGTGTGAAACATCGCTTGTGTCCTCCCGTGGAGGAAGAGGGAGAGATAGAGTCCCGCGTGTGACTGCTGCGGCCGATCTCTCTCCTCAGCGTCATGATAGAATCCGCTGATTCACGCCCTCCTGGGAGAGCAAGTCCAGCATCCGGAGACTCGAGCAGGGAGGGGCCAGGGACGAAAGGACCAATCGGAGAACACTTGGAGGAGGACAGGTGAGGGGAAGCGGAAGGGCTTGGGTTGATAGTGTGACCCACACTGGACGTTCTTGACCTCGCTTCGCTGGATGACCTTGACCTGCGCTCGAACACCTCGTTCGGCGGACACCGTTGGGAGGAGTTCGAGGATGTTGTGGCCGGCGTCTTGTTCGCTTCTTGTTTCTCTTTGAAATAATTCGCCAGCTTCTCGGGACTTATGGGGAGAGGGATGGGGATGGGGACGGGGACGGGAACGGCAAATGGATAGGGAACCAGAACCGTGACGGGAGGGAGACCGTTAGACGGCGGTGGGAAACCTGGGAGGGGGAGGAGAGGAGGGTGCGCTGCGGGTGCTGCTCCTGGATGAGGAGGAGCAGCGGGTTGTGCGGGAGTAGACGACTGCGTACTGCTTCCAGGCTGGGCAGACGTCCCACCCGACATGGTGCTCCCTCCAGGCGCACCCGGATTTTGATGGGGAACAACTGGCCTCAGAGGCGGGTGCGCTGTTGAAGGTTGGGGTTGTGTGTGTGGTGGGAACGGCAGCGGGAACATCCCCGCTAGGGCAGGATCCATGAAGTAGTGGGCCAGTGGTACGTTCTGATTTACCTCACCTGTTAGAAAAGGGTGGGGCGGGAAGTGATGCCGGGAGTTCTCCGTCATTAGGGAGCTTGGGAGCTGCCCTCCTGGGGGGAGGCCGTGGTGATTTATCATACCTGGCGTCATGGTGGTCATCGCAGTTGAAGGTCCTGGGGTGCCCTCGGAGGAGTGCGACGTGGAAGAGGGAGACAGAGGTACTGCCGACGCAGTAGACGACCTCTCGTTCGTGTTGTCTCGTTTACGCTGCTCTCCTCTTTCCGACGACTCTCGAGATCGGTCTCGGTCTCTGAGCAGCTCTCGCCTGGACTCGTGACGGGACCGGAGCTGATTGGATGACGCTACCGCAGCCGCTGTCATGGCAACAGCGTCTTTCTGGGCGGAGGGTAACAACATTGGGGTCGGACCGAAGAGACTAGAGTAAAGAAGGGGACTAGAGTCGTAACCCAGTTTTACCAGATTAGGGTTAACACCAGGATTCGGGAGGGCTGAACCCAGGTGGCCGGGCATCATGGCTAACAGCTGAGACGTTGCCCAGTTAGAGATGAGAGAGGAAGCGGCCGCATGTTCGGCGCTATTGCTGTTGCTGCTGCTCACCGCCGCTTGAGAAGATGACGGCGATGACGACGACAGAGGCGATAACCCAGCATGATGAGTTCTCGAATGTCCTTGACTTGTCGTCAGCCGCTCTGGCTTGTCTCTAAACCCACCAGAAGTTGAGGCACCCCCTGCTCGCCCTTCTCGGTATTTTCCTTCCACCATCAGTTTCCTTATCCGCTCTCTGTCTCTCCGGAATCTGTTCTCAGAGCTGGATGTCTTGTCCACAGGTTTTAACATAGGCGACACAGAACTACCGCCATTGCTTGGACTCCGTCTCCTGTTCAGATTTGATGGGGAGGACATCTCCTTTCTGAAGCGATCATCATTGGAATTGTTACTCTCCTCGCTGATCAAGGCGTTTCTCACACTCATCTCTAACGCAGTCTCCCTCCTCGACTTCTCTTTCTCTCTTTCTCTCAACTCCCCCGGCTCCTCCTCCTCTTCTTCTTCCCCTTCCTCTTCATCCCGTCCCTTCCTCACTCCATAATCTCCCTCCCCTCTTTTACCTCTGCTTTGTCCCTCCCTCGCATCTCCATCCACGCCCACCTCCTTCTTCACACAAACATCATCATGCCCGCCGCCGTTAGACAACCAAAGTTCTGGAGTGATCAGTATCTCTCCCTTTTTCTTCTCGCGAGCGCGGTCCCCTTTACCCTTGTCAGCGCCCTCCCCTGCCAGGTTCTGGATGTGCTGCAGGTGTTGCCTGGCCTCTGTGCAAAAGATGTTCATCTTGTACTGGTTCAGGCACTTCTCGCTGCAGAATTGGACTTGAACCTCTCCCTCCTGGAAGTCTACGAAGTTGACGGTGTGGCGCACGTGCTTGCACCAGTCGCATACCTGACGAAGGAAATGGGCAAGGGGGCCG